CTACGATATAAATCTACGTGACGAGGAGAAAAAAGACGAATCAGCGCAATCATCAATTATTGACTAATGTTTTTTTTTTTCTCTTTTTTTTCTTTCTTTCTTTCTTTCTTTCATTTTTTTCCCTTTTCTTTTCACTTAAGCGTAGTTACTTACTTAAAGTTACGTTAAGCGTAATGTGTGCAATATCCTAAGATTTTGCAGCGCAATAATTCTTTTTTCAGACGCTGTTTCCCTGGATCGTCGTTTAATTTCAGTCGGACACATCGATCTTGTATCAACGATCGATCGATCGGACCTTCGAACGGACTTACGATCGATCGATCGTCTTTCTTTTAACGTTAACTTTAATACTGTAACAAATCAAAACGATAAAACTATTATCTTTCTCTACTCGTTCTTTTTCCCTTCCTTACTTTCTTACTTTCTCTCTTTTGTCCTTTCCCTCCTTCCTTCCATTCTTCCCCCTCCCCTCCCCTATCTATCCCTTCTCTTTCTTCCGTTCCAGTATCGTGGAAATATTTAAAAAATCTATACATGATTTCATCAAAAGTGAATCAAGTCCACCTCGTTTATTCATTTATTTATTTATTTTTTCCCTCGAAGGACAACACGGTAATTTTGTAAAATGCAAAATGCTAATTCATAAATTTCGATCGAAATTATCGTTGAAAGATTATCCCGGGCGAATAAAAATTCGTAGAAAATTCGAACGTGGATTTGATTCGTGTCAGTTCCGAACTACTAAAAAACTACTATTTTTATATATATATAGATATATGTAAAAAATTACGTGATACAAGGAAAAATGTAAATTTTACCGGATATATAACACCGGATATTAAGAACGTTCTATTAATCTTATTTATGAACAAGAATACCAAATAAAGTCCTTTTGTCGTACACTCGATCGAGGTCCTTCGTTTCTTTCGATCTTCGAATCGTTCGTCGAGTTTATAGGAAGTAAGGGAGAAGGATGTGCTACGTCTGTGTACGTGTCAAGTGTGTATAACCATGTGTGTGTGTGTGTATGTGTGTGTGTGTGTGTATATGTAGAGTGTGTGGTAAGCGTATGCAAATGTATGTGTGAAAAAAAATAGACACGAAACGAAATCGTTCAAATATGCATAATTTGCATTTAACTGTACGAATAGAAATTCATTAACAAAACAGAAAAATACGAAATAAAGGAAACCAAGTCAACATTGCTATATCCAAATACAATAATAAAGTACTTGAAACTTTTCTCGGTTACAGGCGAGCTAAAGTACCCTTAACGTTACCAACGATAATAAAAATGTGTTTAAAAATAAAGATCACCATACAACGATATACGCTATTCGCTACAATAACGTGGACAATGTTAAATTACAGGTGAACGTAGAAATAACGTACAAAAAGGATTTCTCGAATCGTGTAAATAGTCTCTAAATCAGTAGGACATTTAAATCGCGTTAATAATACCTATTGGTTTTTATCAAAAATTCAAGGATCGAGATATACAAACAAAGTTCTTTTTTTTTTTTTTTTTTCTCTTCTTTTTTACGAATCGAAAATAAAAAACGTTTTCTCGTTCGTTTCGTAATTTCCGTGCAACTTTCCGTGGATCGAGGATTGACTAGTAATATTCTTCCTTTCGCTTCTTTTCTTTTTTATCGTCTTTTTCCTTCTTCTCTTTTTTTCTTTTTTTTTCTTTTTTTTTTTCACCTTTTTTTTTCTACTTTTTTTTTTCTGTAATTCTTTTCTTCGTATTTTTTTTTTTTTTCTTTTTTTCATTTTTTCCTAAGAAAACCTCCGTCGATATGCAAGACGCGACCCTCGAGGGATTTATTTACAAAACGCGACAAAGATTTATTATTATTGCACGACGCTCATGTCGTATTCGATGCAGCGAAATATGAAAGAGCATACATTATTAAAAATAGAAATGCAGTGTAAGAAGGGGTAAAATCGCGTCTTGCATCACGATAGATGGTCACTTTCGTTCGTATGTCCGGTTTTTTTTTTTTTTCTTTTTTTCTTTTTACCCAGAGGTGGGCAGAATACTACCACTGGTATAAAAAAATAAAGATGATCGTTAAACGAGCTTCCGCAAAAAATTGCTTTAATAAAAAATTATATCTTTCGAGAGTATGAAATCTCGCAGCTTGGTAACTTTAAGTTAAAGACTTAAGTTGCACTTGTAAGTTTCCTCTAATTTCATTAATCGTCGCCATCGATTATTTATATTATAAAATTATAGAAATTTGCGTTATCATTATACGCTAGGAAAAAAGGGTATCTATCTTAAGTAAACAATATAGTATTAGTAACAGGAGTCTCCTATGATAACTTACGAATACAAACGGTGAAATTTTTACGATAAAAACAAACGTCGATGTATATAAATGTACATAAAAAGATACGTACAAACGACATTTAAAAAATTCAATTTCGTCTCCGCTATTATAAATTTCATTCATCCCATCATGATCATTTCATCATCTCTATTTCTTTTTTTTTCTTTTTCTTATTTTTTTTTTTTTCCTTTCCCTCTTTCGTCTTTTTTTTTTTTCGAACGATTTTTAACATCTAAGAAGAGACGTTAACTATTTCCCGTAAAAATTTCCACAAATCAAAAGCAGTCAGACTTTCTATTTCTACGTAAAAAACGCATGCAATGTGCCCGCCTCTGGGATGCACTTAGCTCTGTATTTCTACTTTCCGCGCTCTGTTTCGCATTCTCTCTCTCTCTCTCTTTCGTTCTCTCTCCCTTGCTCACTTTCAATATGCTCATATATACTCATACACGAAGAAAACACCCGCTCACACACGCGATTTCTCCCTTAATTTTCATTTCCTGCCTATCTGTCTTTTTGTTATTTCTTTCTTGCGTGTAAAGTTTATCTTTCGTCTCCAAGAGATCTCGTTAAAAAAATAAAAAAATATCTTCTTTCCTCTGTTTTTTCGCGATAACTTTCGATCTTGTGAATTCTCGTTTCGTTTATTATTTTTTCTTCTATCTCCCTCCCTTTCGTTGTTTCTCTCTCTCTCTCTCTCACTCTCACTCTCGCACTCTTTCTTACTCTCTTTCCTTCTCTCACTTTCACTCGACGCCATTCTCACTCTTTCACTTTCTTTCGTTCGATAAGAACATTGCACGGCTCCCAGCTCCAGCTTATACTGTTTTTATAGCCTTATCACGTTTTACGCTCTAAGTGTCTCCGTTAAACATATACACGTGCATACATTGAACTTATTATTGTACCGCATTTTTCATTGAACGCATCCAGACTGTTCATAGCTGCGGGTTTGTGATGTGTGTCGAACGATGCAGATCGAACGAATTACACAGTGTGTTTACTTCGTATGGTGTACAGATAGCGCTACGATCAACGATTAAACTGCGTAAGATCAGAATAGCGAAAATCACTTTGACAGGCGAATGAAACGACAGGCTCTAAAATGAGGCATGATACAAGTTCGATGTTTGTGTTTTCTTTTTTTTTTTTTATTCATCAAAAGAACATGTTTCTCGCCTTTTTTTTTTTTTTTACTTTTTAACGTCAAACACTCTGGTGCTTCTTGATTTTTTTTCGATCTCAGGTCAGACACGCTCTCCGTTACCGATAGAGGGAAGTTGTGTTGCGAAGATATCTCGAAAATCTCGACCAAAGATAGATCGATCGCGATGGAAATCGATTCGGATATATATCGTTTTCTGACATTTTTGAATGATTCGCGATTACGTTTCTGACTCGAGATCGTGATACAATAACACGATATCGAAGCCAACTCGTAACGAGAGTCTAAGCTTATTTCAACAATCTTACTGTGCTTCTCATTACGATCGTGGCTTCGCCTTTCAGCGCCAAAAGTATATTCAAGATCTATTACGCTTTTTAAACATGCACGTGTCCATGTAAATATCAGATGTACAAATATGTTCAACTGTTCTTTGGTACATGTGGATATATGCGTACATCTACAGTAGACACTCTAATAGTAATAGTGGTAGAAGAAATAGTAGTGATAGTAGTAATAATAGACGTAGCAATAGAAATAGTAATAGTAATCGTAGCAATAGCAATAGTAATAGTAATAGTAGTAGTGATAGTGATAGTAATAGTAATAGTGGTAGTGGTAGTAGTAATAGTAATAATAATAATCATTATCATCGTCGTAATCATAATAATAGTAATAGTAGTAGCAGCATTAGCAGCAATATTAATAATAATAGTAGTAGTAGTAGTAGTAGTAGTAGTAGTAGTAGTAATAATAATAATAATAAAAGTAATGATAATAATCGAATAATAGTAATGACAATAATGATAATTGCAAAAATAACAGCGTCTATATTGATTACGTTTTAAAATATTATCAACTAATAGTAATGATCGTAGTGAACATATGTAACAAAAATATAGAAATTTGGAGAACGATGAAATATGGATCACGATCGAGCCCCTTTTTTTTTTAGGACTTCGAAGAACAGGAAAAAAACGAGAAAAAAAAAAATAAAAATAAAAATAAAAAAAGAAAGAAAAAAAAATACAAAGATACGAAAAATGATGTTTCGCTCGAAGCAAAATAGCCGAGCAACGGATAACGGAAGTATACTCGTTCGTCCACGAAATTGTTAGAAATTTCAAAAGTAGAAAGACGTTCGTGAATTCTATACGTTTTCCGTTCTCCATTGCTGTGTTGATCCAATCCATTTTACCTGCGAGGTATCGATCGAGCTATAAAAAAAAAAGAAAAAAAAAAAGACGCGAGTAAAAAAAAACGCGATGAACAGAAGGGCGCAGGGAACAGAAGCCTGCAAGAACAGACTAAATGAGAAGAATAGATTTGCAAACATGTCTTTACGAACGCTACTCGTTCGGACGCGGTGTATAGTATACATACATGAGGATAAAGATCTCGTAATGTTTAAAAAAATAAAAATCGATTGATAAAATTGTACGTGGAAAACGGTAAATAGAGATAGGATCGCTCTAGCAGGAGCTAACTAGAGGTAGGATCGACTTGGTCGATCGTGTTACGCGCCTCGTGTCTGGTGTCTCGCGTACGTTTCACAACAACTTCCTTTTCTTCCCGCGTTAATCGTCGCTGGTTCGCTCGTGTTCTCGGGGGTTTCTTTTTTTTTTTCCACAGAGCGAGCTTCGAAGCGTGGGCATTCAAAAAAAAAAAAAAAAAAAAAA